CATCTAACTACTGTGATGGCCAAAGACGCCTCGGTAGACATGGCAAGAAAAAGAAATTTGCAGAAAGACTATGAGAATGGTGTGGAAGGTCAGAGAAGATGCTCCTCAAATGAGAATACCTAAATGCACAAGGAAGCTTGCCGGAAAACTCGCCGGAAAAGATTTGACAGCAAGAAAAACATGAGAGGTTTTGAAGAGTATTTTGCGAAGGTAAAGTTTGAAAATCACAAGGTTTTAGCTTTTATACCAGTAAAGGACTCAATCCCAACTGTTGGATTGAATCTCAGTTAATCTGAGGCGTCCAAAAGTAAGTGGATCTGAGCCACAGATTTCAAACAGTTTATATTCTCAACGCTCCAAATTAACGCGTATGTGTACCAACATAGATCCACGCGTGAACGTATTCTCCAAAACCACACGTCCTAATAATTAGTCATCATTATGCATTAAATTCCAACGGCTGTACGACTATTGGAAGTCGTTTCGATGCAGCCAACTTGCCTTAGAAACATAAGAAACCATCATGTCACAGGCTCTAATATCTATGAATGTTGCCTCGCTCAAAGCATTTCAGTCTCGCCAGTTCGAATATGAACTCGCCTCGCTCCAAAGGACTTCAGCCTCGCCAGTTCGAATATGAACTTGCCTCTCTTCAAAGGAATTCAGCCTCGCTAGTTCAAATACGAACTCGCCTCGCTCCAAAGCATTTTAGCCTCGCCAGTTCGAATATGAACTCGCTTCGCTCCAATGGAATTCAGCCTCACCAGTTCGAATACGAACTTGCCTCGCTCCAAAGGAATCCAGCCTCGCCAGTTCGAATATGAACTCGCCTCGCTTCAAAGGAATTCAGACTCGCCAGTATGAATATGAACTCGCCTCGCTTCAGCTCCAAAAGAACTTCAGTTTTAAAGGTAACTTTCTTAGCCCTACCCATCACACTTCTTGAATTCCACGCACAATATGAATATCTCTACCGGACTTGAGGGACTGATGTGAAGTACAAAAAATTAAAACTTTTTCTGACTTATTGAAAGCCCACGCTTGGCATAAATGACCACACATGGACTTGGGGGACTACTGTTACGAATCATAAATCGGAAGCGACACATGGCACCATATTTCAGCAGTGGGACCAACCTAATTAAATTAGGGTATATTTTCCTAGCCTCCGACGTGGATTCCGAGGCCTTGACTTGTTCCGAAGCCATTGCTACTAACTAAAGCCACGGTTCGGTGGACATAACTATCCGAGGCCCCTTTGTTGCAGTTAGTGGAGATCCACGTGGAAAGATATAGCAATAATGAAGATCTTTATTTCAATGATTGACGTGACTTTCGTGAAAAGTACATTTGTGTCTTGTCTTGTCAATGTAAGAGCATTTAATGCTTTGTAAGGCTAGGAAAGTCAACTTGATAGTTAGGATTTGATGTCTTGGCCGAGGAGATGAGGCCACATGTAACTTGATCCAAAGGCCACCATCTGATTTGAAACACTACAAATACCCCACCATGTAGCACAAAAGGGTTAATGCAAATTCAAAATGAAATTCTAACTACTTGACGCTATATTATTCTCTCATTTTATCAGCATATTTCAACTATAAATCTTGTTCTTTATCGATTAGTTTCTTATACAATCGTATTCTAGTTATCTCGCCAGAGGCCCGAACGGAGACATCTTTTGTCGTTGAGCTCCTCCCACGTTCAGATTTTGGAGATATTTTGACCGTCGATTGGGACTAATGTGTTGGATTTAGTTTACGTGTACATGAGTGGACCCGACATATGTTGGCAACATTTTTTGGGGTCAACAATTGATATTTTAAATACCGAGTCTTCTATTATGAGTAAAAAAAAATTAAAGGTATAAAAATAATAACCCAAATAATATCTATCTCTCACACTATACACTATGTCATATAAATGAAAATTGCATTTCTAACTTACATAGAGAGGATATTTGGGATCAAGTGATTCTGTATCATTTGACAAATATGAATCATATTTGCTAGACGAGATAAAATCTCATTTTATTGGAAAAGAGAAAGAGCTATACAATTAATGAGCCTAGTACATACTAATATATGTGCATCCATGTCAGTTACTCGTAAAGGAGGTTTCCTATATTTCATCACTTTTATTGATGACCATTCTAAATATGATCACGTATACTTGATGAAATTCAAGTAAGAAATTTTTGAAAATCTCAATGAATTCAAGCTAGAAGTAGTTTCTCTAATTAGATAACTATGGCCCACCACGATTTTAATTTCACAAGTTTATGATGTTGCATATCATTCTATTTAATTGGATTTTGATTCTAAGTTCAAATAAGTTCTCTCCAATTGTTCTCTCTCGCCAACAAAATTTTGTAATTTTGATTTAATTATGATAAAAAGAAGATTTCGCAAAAGGATGAAGCTTGACAGAAAAATTACTTGAGAACTCATACATGTAGACAGAGTCGTACTCGTATTTAAGCTAATAAAATATTATAAACAAAAAATATTTTATTAATGTACGTAACATTTTGTGTTTGGGTAGGACAACGGCTGACAGGTGCCAACCAGTTCACGTTATTGTAAGTCGCGGTGGATCCACGTCAACAACAAATAGATGAAATTAAAAATTGGCAAGACAGACAAAATCCACCATTCCGGATCCGGGTCCGTTCATTTTGTTTGTTTGGTCAACAAATCTATCTTCATAGGTTAGACATAATCTCCCATTTGCCAATTCTCATCCATTTTCACAATTTTCTATTTTTTAGTACAAAAATCTCTTTATGAGATACTCAAGGCTGTGTTTTGCATTACTTCAAAAAGAGAGGATTTGCTAATCGTATAGCAATCTAATCAAACTCAAAGCTGAGTAGTACGTAGATTACATAATATCTAATTGCGTGCAAGAGGAAATTCATAAAGTATTAGAACATGTATAGTCTCTCATATTAGAATGTACGTTAAGGTGAGGGGTGGGGTGTGTATCGATTGTTAGTCAGAGCTCTAACTTCAAAAGTGCAACCTCGTAGGAATGTTTTAGTGCTTTTAAGTAAGTATCTTGAATATGTCCTTAAATTTATGAAAAGTGTGATCTTCGAAGTCGAATTCTATTTCATAAGCGATGCTTTCAACGAAGAGTTGGGTTCTTCAACTTAAGATTACACGTGAACTTTTGCCCCTGTTTGAACTTCATTAAAATGAATTTTTGGAGAAGGTGTGGTTAAAAAATAAGGATAAATTTGAAATTTACGTATAATTTTTATTTTATTGAATAATTTGTTTTTTTGAAAATGAGATTTAGAAAATTGTATTTTTTGAAAATAGAGCCCAAATACGATAAATTAAGTTTGTCAAACTAGCTCTTATTATTTTACTTATCCATACAATAAAACCTAACAATATTCCACGACCCTCTCCATCATTGGTCGGCCGAATCCTTTTCCCGGAAGGCAACCTTCTAAATTCTTGCAGAAGTATTAGATATTCCAAAGCATATTCTGTAGATGTTGTAGAGGTAATATTCAAGCCGTTACACTTTAAAAAAAAAAAAAAATTGAATAAAATTTCCTAATCCACCAAAAAAGACCGAAATGTCAAGAGACGGGTGGAAATTTAAATTGGAAGTGGAAGTCTGGATTAAAATAGCATTGGACAATATTTACTTGGGTAGTTCAATTTATAGGTTCATATTATGTTGGTCACTTAGGACGTGTTCGGTAGAGATTAAAATTTGATTAAAATTGAAAAATAGTCGTTATTATTGGCTTTTATTAGACGAGTGAGACTCAATAACGGTTATATTTTCAATTTTAATTGAATTTTAATCCCTACCAAACATGCTCTTAATTTCAATTTGCATTTTTATTCAATTTGATCTTTATGCTTATATCCATTATCATAATTGTCCGAATTCAGAACATGATCAATAGCCATATAGGATTTGACGAAATATTTTTTATGTGTATTATTTAGGGTCCGTTTGATTACAAATGTGGAAAATACGTGGAAAGAAAATGTTTTACAGGGAATTGATTTGCCTAAAAATTGTTTTACTGGGAATTGTAATTAATTGTGTTTGATTGGTATAATTTTTCATGGAAACTGTTGAAAGTTTGGTGTTCGCTTGGCTTCATTCTTTATGAAAATTGTCCATTAAAATGATAATATTTTCTACCATTGAGTCTAATTTGTTCCAATTTAAAAAAAAAATTGAAAAAAATAATCATATCGAATACCATTCGTTTGACTTTATTTTGCATGGAAATTGTTAATAAAAGTGAAAATGTTTTTATCATTGTATCTATACTTTTTTTCAATTAAAAAAAAAAATTGGAAAATATTTACCCACCAAAACATCAAGAATTTACTTTCCTCAAAATGTGGAAAATTTGAAAATTTGGAAAATATTTTCCCGAAAAATTTTGGATATCAAACACTACAAAACTTAGAATGAGAAAAAAATTTCTCTTCTAATTGTATAGATTTTGGATGGTTTGACTTTGGCTCTAAAAACTCATTCGTCTGAATTAAATGCATATTTGAAATTTTTTTGTTTGGATAATCAAACACACAAACATTTACTATCTATTTATTATCTATACATTACATGGAAACTACCAACATTTCAAAAAATTTAAAGTTTGTCAAAATCATACAATAAAGACTAGTCAGGTCATAAATTACATCAAATTTGATAATAATTACGTACAAAATAGTCAAATTAAGATACAAAGTAAGTTGAGATATCAAATTGAAATTAGATTGTACAAACTGGACGGTAACGGCACCGTCAGCACGTTAAATTGGAAAGTGAACAGTAGAAGAATATCCAAAAGAATATGACGAGTTCAGGCAAAGGAATATTCCACTGATATGATCTTCTTGAACGATCCAATGCTGCTTAAATACCCTCTCCCAAATTCCTTCCTCCGCAAAAATTCAAGAATTCCATTCTTATCCTCTCCTTTTCGACACTCTGTTTAAAGTTTCTATCTAACAATGGCTCTCAAGGCTGTTCATGTTTCTGAAGTCCCAAAACTTGATCATGTCCCGGAAAATTCATCTTTTTCCCTTTACTCCACAAGATTTTCCAAAGGTACGTACTATTTTATGAATTTATGCGTTTATTTCTTTGGATATTTCATTTTCATTATTTCGAATTTTGGTGGATTTTTTTATTTTTTGTGTTTTTGCCGGTGTATGGTTCAGGCGCGGAAGTTGGGAGAGCTTCCTTTAAGCCACCAAAATTTCTGGTGATTGGGCACCGGGGAAATGGGATGAATTTATTACAGTCCACCGATCGGAGAATGAAGGCCGTTAAAGAGAATACAATTCTCTCTTTCAATACCGCCGGAAATTTCCCAGTTGATTTCGTCGAGTTTGATGTTCAGGTAAATATAATCTGGTGATTTTTTAACCTGCACAGGATTTTACCTTTTTTTCAATAAAAAAAGAAGTGAACACATTTGATTGGCTCTTGACGTTTCGTTGTCGGCGCGTCATACCGTCGCCGCATACGCCAAACCAGGTTTTCTTGAAATTACGAAATTATCCCAGAAGAGGACATGAATGTTTTGTCCTCATCTATTAAAAACCAAATCTTTATCTACTAAACTGAAAATTCGATTTACATTTTACTTGCAGGATAGAATCCCTTTCCATAATTTTCTTGAGGGTTTGAGTGAAAATCCCATTTGATTCGATTCTTGTAGGTGACAAAAGATGGCTGTCCGATCATTTTTCACGACAATTTCATTTTATCCGAAGAAAACGTAAGTCTTGATTTCTGTTATGTCAAAATATCTAAACTCTGTTAAAAATTCGAACTTGTTTTAGAAATTATTTCTGAGGGTTATGTGATTGTAAATCTTTAGGGCACAGTATATGAAAAGAGAGTTACAGAATTGAATCTATCGGAATTCCTTACCTATGGGGTCCAAAGAGAATCGGGCATGGTTGGGAGAACTCTTTTAAGGAAAACAAAGGATGGGAAGATTGTTGGCTGGAATGTTGAAGCCGATGATTCTTCGTGCACTCTACAAGAAGCCTTTCAGAAAGTTAATCCTTCTATCGGGTTCAACATCGAATTGAAGTTTGATGATCACATTGTGTATCAAGAAGAATATCTAGTCAGTGTACTTCAAGCGATTTTGCGAGTTGTATTTGAAAATGCAAAGGATAGACCAGTTATCTTCTCAACTTTCCAACCAGATGCTGCTTTGCTTGTCAAAAAACTTCAGAACACATACCCTGTGAGTATGCCAATTGGATACCGTTGATTTCTTTTATTGGAGTTAAAAGTGTGATTAGAGTGTTCTATGGATCCTAAATTATACACTATGGATTGGCCTTTCGCGGCAAGGTTGACGGGTTTACTTGCCATTCATACAGGGTCGTCCTTGTATTCTTACTATATTGATGATTTACAATTGGGTAGGATGCCGACTTACAGTAAATGTGTTTCTTGCCAAGCAGGTATTTTTCCTCACGAACGGAGGAAACGAGATTTACTATGATGTAAGAAGGAATTCATTGGAGGAGGCCATCAAACTATGCTTAGATGGTGGTTTGCAGGGAATTGTTTCGGAAGTCCGAGGCATATTTAGAAATCCAGGGACAGTGAAAAAGATCAAAGAATCGAAGCTCTCTCTCTTGACATATGGAAAATTGAAGTGAGCAATTATTAACTTGTAATTACTATAAATATTTGAAATCTTTGAATACTGATAATTTGCTTCATTTATCTCAGCAATGTGCCTGAAGCCGTGTATGTGCAACATTTAATGGGGATCGACGGAGTGATTGTGGATTTAGTTCGAGAAATAACAGAGACTGTTTCCAATATGATGAAGCCATCTGAGGAAGCGGTATCCGGAGAAGAGGGACTAATTCCAGGACAAGGAAAACCTCAATTTTCACAAACAGAATTGACATTTTTGCTTAAACTGATTCCAGAATTGATACAACAATGATTGTTTCTGAATTTTTTCTTCGAACTTGAGAGTATAGGTGGTCCTAGAATGCTTGTACTTCTGTACATAAGTTGGTAATCTAAGACAATATTTGCATCTCTAACCGTTCGCGTATTTGGTGTCTGGTATGGACCTTTTTTCTGTATAATGTTGTGAAATCTGTTCGATTTGAAATACCACTAGTATTGCACAGTTTGTTAACAAATAGTAAAATAAATTTTGAATCCGAGTATCATAGGTTGTATCAGTTTAAATTCAAATGAACTTCGTTAACTGAAACAATGAAAATTTATGATTTTTCTAAAACTAGATTGTCACTAACTATATATATTTAAAAATGCAAGACCTAACTTAACTATAATTGATTCAAAATTGTCATAAATGCAAGTTTGATGAAAATATGATGATGAAAAAATTTACTAGGATTCTAAATACCCTTGTATCAATCCCCTTTAATATTGAATCTTACAATTTGACAACACGATTTTATTTTGAAGATCAATATTCTTAAATTGTTTGACAATTTTTCTCGAGTAAAATTAAATATATACTTACATGTGATCCAACTATATTTCTATGCTGAATGAGAACTTATAAGAATTCATTAAGGATTTATAAATACTTAAAGATCACGTAGAGTATAACGGTATATTTTTATCTCATATAGAACACTACGACAATTGACAATATGTCTAACTTATTTTCAATCTTTCAAAGGCAAAATAAGCCACATAACTCATATAACCATTGCGCATATGATTGTAGAGAAAAGAACTTCATTTCAATAATTAAAAACGTGCTTTGATTAATGTCAAAAAGAAATAAAATCATGATATAAAGGTTGGTAATACAAGATTTATCGTAATCTTAGCACAAAAAATAATTAGTTATCATAATGTCAAAATTAAACAAATAAAACTGAAAAGAAATCACCGATAAATGAAAGAACGTGATTAATTTTCAAATTTATTTTACAATTATTGATGAATTAATGCACAAAAATTTGGAATTATTCTTTTATTGCTATGCGTCTGCCCTCCCTTTATTCCAATCAACTGACGTTTTGTTCCATTAAGGGTTCGTTTGATTGCAGAATGATATTTGGGTGGAAAAAAAAATGAATTTCAAGAAATTGAATTGCCTACAACTTGTGTTATTGATAATTGTCAATTAATTGTGTTTGATTAATATTATTTTCAATGTGAAAAATATTGAAATTTTGGATCTTTTGATATTCATTTGACATTATTTTTCATGAAAATTATCCATTACATGGATATAATTTGTTACAAGAAAAATTCTTGATGTACATATTTTATGTA